AAAGCAAATTATTATACATCTTATGAAAGAGTGTTTTATCCTGAATCATTTGGTATCATTTTTGTGTGGTATGTGTTCACGCTTGGATAAACAGGAGGCATTGTTTGCGAGAGTGCAAAAAAACGACTTGCACTTCAATTTTTGCACTCTCGCAAACAATGCCTCCTGTTCATCCAAGCGTGAACACATACCACACAAAAATGATACCAAATGATTTAGGACAAATCACTCTTTCATAAGATGTATAATTATTTACTGTTCATGGATGATTTTTTGAAATAATTAGCAATTTTCAAGGTGTAAACTTTTTTTCGACTAACACAGTATTTCACATTTATTTTCTGATTTGTCCCTAATCATCAAATTTATGGGGAGCCAATGCATGTTTGAACAAGAATGTTGTATGAGTAGAGCCAGCAGGATAAACCACACAGAGGGCCAGCCAAACAAAGGGATTGACAACATCGTCTACTGTAGTCATGGCAACATGATTGCTTGGAATCACAAGTCCTCAAACTGCAGGGTCATGATCCAATGTGTTCTTGGTAAATTGGGGAGGTCTTTTGATTAGTCTGCTTCGTATCCAATTCATTGTTGTCTTGAGTATAACAAAATTCCACATGAGTTGATATTTTTTCATATTCAACCCTTACATGCTATGGATCTAACCCCCAGACTGCTACATTGTACATACATGTATACCCTTATGTCTGTCAAAAGTCAATAGTGGTTTTCCATTGTTTGTGTTATTAGTCAGTCAAAACGATTTGCCCTTCATTGCATTTCAAGGGCAAAGTAAATCACTATTAAAGTGTGATCAATAAAGAGTGATTTCCAAGAGAAAGAAACACAGAATAACAAATATTAAGGGCAATTTTTGTCTGCCCATGCATTTTTGTAAATGTATGTACTCAGAATGCAAAGAGGTAAAGAGGGGTACAAGAAGCACACCAAATGATTAACACCTTGTCTGAAAATGTCCTTTTTTTTAATTTAATGCAAGATAAATTTATGCTCAATTCACACAAATATTTGTTTTCCCTCAAAAAAGAATAAATTCACCTTTAACAAGAGTTCTAACCTTTAATCAATGATTCAAGATTTTATCGTACCTCTAATATAAAGACACAATATAAGACAATCCCTGAAATTGGATTTGCTATCTCCAACAGGGAAAGGCGGTCACTTTAAGGGACACAATTTCTAAAGAAAGACAAACAAAATGCTAGTATTTGAGAATTCAATGGCTATGACATTATTCATGTACATGCTCAAGGTTCTGACTGTCCTGTCCAAAAGACCAAAACATCCATTTTCAAGGGTGTAGGTAGCATGAGGGAGGATCTTAGTACTATTTAAACTCATTTATCTGAATTTTGCTCAGTGCCACTGCTTCTAGTGTACTACTTTCATCTACAAAATTATGTTTCATCAAAGAGAATTGTTCATTTTCAAAGTGGCATAAACATTGAGATGATTCCATTGTAACCCATGCAGCACATAGCATCACTTATATTTTACGATCTACAGTACAGGGTCAGGCGAACATAAGTCACTATTTATATATCCGGAGAAAGAGAAAGATGCAATATCCAGTACATCCTAAACAGTCAAACAATTTGTGATTTGTTGTGAATAACGCACATTTCATATCAAATGAATGCATTTAATTGAGAGAGGTCACTTCAGTACCGGTATGTCTTTCCTCAACGTCATAATTAGATTAGCTGCTAGACAAAAGGTAGGGTGGAAAAATGTGTGAGATGGAAGAGGGAAATTGAAATATTAGTTCAAGGAAACCTCTGATACTGTACAGACAACATTAATATAACCTTCAATTCAGTATCTATTAATATCAAGTAATCAGTGTGCTTGGTGACATGACATACATATATATATATATATATATGAACATGAACATAAGTAATATTGAAATAAAATATTTGAGAGCCACATATCTTTACATGGCATAAATACATAAAATTTAGTATAATTATAATTTGCTATATATTTAAAATACAGTGATACCAGTTGGGTTTTGGTGATTCTGTGCAATGACAACTTAGATTATGTAATTTCTCCATTTATTTCATTAAAAAATCCTGATTCTTGTCATGGTTATGTCATGAGACTTTTGAATGAAATAAATGGAGAAAAGATATTAACACATAGCTTTCACCACATTACAGTTTTTAAAAAGCCTGAAAAGAGACTTTGACACGTTCAAGCCCAATATGCCCTGTAGTCCTGTACATTATGAAGCCTGAAAAAAGCCACTGTTCCCGAAGTAACATAATCTGAAATCACAAGATAGCCCAATGAGCACCGGATCAAAACCTTCTGAAAATACAAACATTGCTGTTCCATAATTATAATGGCAGACTGAGCAGTCAAAGAACTATACAAATGTTTTAAATTTTCGAGAGACATTCAAATGAAGAGATTTCAATTTGTCGGTTCGGCAAAATCGGATTGTTATCTGACTCTCAATGTGACTTTCGTTACACCTGTGCGTGAGTTGAATCCTGCACTGATCAGACAAAAAGATTATGAGGGAGAGAAACAGAGAGAGAGAGAGAGAGAGAGAGAAAGAGATTGAGACCCTGTTCTCATTATGAGTTTGGACCATGGATTGCTCCAAGACGGCACAATCTGTAGCGCAGGACAGAGAGGGCCATGAGAACTCTCCAGGTTTGCACCTGCAGTCAGTTGGGGTGCTCTATTAAAAGACTCCCCATTACATGAAAGCGCATATACATTTCTCAATTTAATACAAAATGACTGGTTGCCACTGAAGTCAACAAACCACTTCTAGGGTGTTAGTATTACAGGAGATAGCTTGATGTGAAGCTCACAAGATCCCTCTATCTCATGTGCTACACCCCCAGGAGGTGCTCCAAAGGTTCCCTGTTTTGGATCGCCAAGGCAAGACATTTGGTGGACCAGAATGACATTGCAATATTCTCACCTCAGATATAGCATAATTTAGCGCCCACTGGATAGCACTATCTCTTGTAATGAGAACAGGGTCTGAGAGAAAAAGGTGAGGGTTCTAAAAAAAGTGAGAGAGAGAGGGAGGGAGGGAGGAAGGGAGGAAGGGAGGAAGGGAGGGAGGGAGGGAGGGAGGGAGAGAGAGGGAGAGAGAGAAAGAGGGAGAGAGAGAGAAAGAGAGGGAGGGAGGCAGGGAGGGATGGAGGGAGGGAGGGAGGGAGGAAGGGAGGGAGGGAGGGAGGGAGGGAGGGAGAGAGAGAGAGAGATAGAGCCGAGAGAGAGAGAGAGAGAGATAGAGAAATAGGCAGAGGCAGGCAGACATACAAAAAAGATCAAGACAGATAGTGATAATCTTTTCTGCCTTCTGTAAATGGCTTCAAAAGCACGATTCTTCTACTCCCTGGGAGTCATCTGTTTTTTTAATTAACTGTAAAAATACAGATTTGCCTTATTTGTTCAGCAACCCCGGAAAAAAAATCCACATTTGACCTTCCCTTTATAAGATGAGTAATAAACAATTGAGCTACAGAAAGCAGAAGCAAAACCAAAATAGATTAAGTATTACCGGTAAGTGGATGACCTCATTTTGAGGCATGCAACCCATCACAACTCTATCACATGCACATCAAGTGTATCTATAGTCTGTGTCACAGTTGAATCTAACTCATCCCTCCCCCTGTCTGGCCTAGGAAATGTATTAACCCTGGTTATGCTGAACTGCTTTACTTATCTTTCATCATTCCCCTATACTCCTCTTCTCTCCCATATTTTTCACTTTAAAAATTTTTGCTTACCGGTAGTTCATATACATTTAAAAAATATATAGCTTCCCTAAGCCTGTCTACATGTACCTATTGCTTATTCTGTTCTCCCATTCCCTGCCCCCGCCCCCCTGCCGCCTCTTAACTCCATGCCTACTCTCTTCCCTCCCTCCCCTAACCCTGCCTCCTTTGCCTCTACCTGCCTGCCTTCACTCTGCATCCCCTATGCATCCCTCTCCCTCACTTGCTCCCTCCCCTGGTTATCTTTATAATTTTTTTTTTTTTTTTAATGATCTTTCATCATTCCTTACCAAATTTACAGTTATTTCCTGTAAAAAATTCAAACAAACTTGTTCTGTTCATGACATGAACTATTTTTATTTTTCTCTCTTCTCTTCATCTCTCCTTTGTACTCATGCAATTTCCTATTAATTCCCTTTACCTCCATTCTCTATCCCTCCCTAGCTTGGTACTTCTAGCTACAACCCTTTTGTAATTCTCACACTCTTTTCATTAGATTATGAAACAAAATGTAATTTCTCTTTGCATGATTTGTTATTGCTTGAAATTTGAGAGCTAGTGTTGCATTATTTTATACCCCCACATATAACAATACCCCCATATTACAATACCCTTCACATATTGCAATACCCCCACCAATAAATATGATCTAGTGCTTTTCAAGTGTCCCTTTGCAAAAGGGTTTATTACTGGTAACATAATATGCAGGCACTTACAAGGCAATTATACATCTAAATATGGACAAAACACAACACAAGAGGGCGTAAGACACATCAAGAGTACTGTACATATTCTTTTAATTTTCACTATGGCTAGAGAGATAAATTCTCTCTCTCTCTCTCTCTCTCTCTCTCTCTCTCTCTCTCTCTCTCTCTCTCTTCTCCCTCCCTCCATCTATCTATCTATCTATCTATCTATCTATCTATCTATCTATCTATCTCTCTCTTTCTTTCCTTCTTTCTTTCTCTCTCCCTCTCTCTCTTTGCAGCTCATACTCCAGATCCATCTTACAAAAAAACTTAATTATCTAAAAATCTGACATCATTCATAGGGTCCATCAAAATGTAGAGCAAAAACTTCTTTCTGGCATTGACGGTAGTTAAGCTGAGTCTATGTCTGGATCCACTGACCACATCTTCCCCTTAGGTTAAAAAATATGTCAGTTTTATTAAAGAATTCACCATCTTACATGTTATTTCTGTCTGATCAATCATATAGCAGGCTTACCTGATGCTGGTATGTATCAAGAGCCTTTCTGGATTTGAGGAGTAGAAGCTTGGGATCCGTCTCCAGCTTGAAAGAGACGATGAACGCTTCTGGAGCCCACTGGTGGATAAGAACTGGAAGCATCTTTGGGACAGAGCTTAGTTTGACCTCTGGAGGACCCTCTGATGACTGCATCTTGTGTTCAGGCTGTGTGGAAGAAAGAAAAATTGCATTTTCAGTTATCTAAATTTGTTTACATTCCTTGGGTATGATCTAGCATTTCCTCCAGTCAAAAAGACTGTCATTGTCAGAATGATCACAATAAAAAGTTAAGTTTACCTTGAAGCTATAAAAAGGATGTATAAAAGGATGCAAAACTTTTTGGGGAATGAATAGTCTTGTCTCATGATGCAGAAAAAACAAGGAAGGCAGTGTTTTCATTTTAACCTCTCATTTATGCAAAAAATAGTTACAATCAACAATCTTTATAGTTTCTCATTTTTTGTTTTCATTGTTGAAAAAGAATGTCTTACAGACTGATGCATATGTTCATTAACATTAAATGACTATTTACTCTATTTTGCCATTTTCTTAACCACACTTTCTAACAGGTAAATCAATGTGCCCATCCAAGTGTGAAAGTTCCAAACTTGATCTTCATCAAAGATAGTAGAGTGTTATTTTTAAAATTTAATTTGATATATATTTTATTAATGATTTATATAAACATTTTGAACAATAAAGAGTGTCCACTTTTTTCAAACATTTATTGCTGCGTGTATGACATCAGTGGTAGTTAATTCAATATTTCCTGGGCTTATAACTGTTTTATACCAAAATTTTATCAAACCATTATAGTTTTCCATGTTTACATATGATTCACTTCTTGAAATCCAGATCAGTTGGCAGGAGCGGATCCATTATTGCAAAGGAGGGTATTCTTAAAAGTTTCTGACATGCTCCCCCCTCTGCACCCCATTAAAAAACCCAACAAAATAACAACTACTACAAAAAAACAAAACATCGCCACCTCAAAAAGGGGTGGGGTCACATAATTGGAGTTGTGTTCTTCAGGTATGCTACTTTTGTTTTGAAGGGGGAGGGGGAATAGGTCGGATGTGTACACCCCCCCCCCCTATGCCATTGCAAGTCTATGTCTACCAACCATTTCAGCCCTGGGTATGTAGAAGTCTGAGACCGCTGCTGCCAGGAGGAACATGCTCTTCTGTTCCAACTGACCCAAGACGTCGGAGATGCTTTTCAGGAAGTAGAGGTAGTCTTGAAGAGAGAAGAATGGGATGGAGAGAAGACTGTTGGAGGAGGATGCTGAATGGTAGGCTCGTAGCACCCTGGCAAGTCTAGTGGACTCATTTGGTTTTACTGTCAAGAAATATGCAAATGAAATTTAGGATGTACTACATGTATACCCAAGTTCATAACTTGAACAAAAATGAGCAACAAAAAGGATAGATAAATATTTTTACTAGAAATATGAAACAAATTAAAATAATTTTGAGGTAAAACCCGGCCAAATTTCAGTTGTTTTAAGCATATCTACACAAAGAACTTTGATTTTCATACAGGGATTCTCAAACTGATTAATTTGACAAAAATAATTTTCTCTGCAATAATTCCGCTATACATTGCCATGCTGGATGCTCAGAAAGCATTTGACAGGGTTTGGCAGGAAGGTCTTCTGGCAAAAATAGCAGCAACACACCCGTCCCCAGGTCTGCTGCATACCATTGCAGAATTCTACAACACCTGCTCAAGCAAGGTGTTCTGGGACCATTCTGTAGGACCCTCTTTTCGTGTCCTACAAGGAGTAAGGCAAGGAGGTGTTTTATCTCCCATGCTCTACACACTCTACATTGATGACCTCATCAAGCTCCTGAGAGAATGACATAAAGGTTGCACAATCAGGAACCTCTGCATAGGTGCCATAGCATTTGCTGATGATATTGCTCTCCTTAGTAACAACCCAACATAGCTACAACAGATGCCTAACATCACATTCCAGTATACTCAAGAAAGAAGATACAAGATCAACCCCACTAAGAGCGCTGTCATTGTGCTGAACCAACATCGTACAATCAGCGGACATTCCTGGCATATCGATGGCGAGCCAATAGATGAGGTATCCTCCTACAAGCACCTTGGCATTACCAGGACATGTGACCCTCAACATGATTATGCAGCAGATTCAATCACCAAAGGATACAGATCCTTTTATGCCTTAGTTGGAACCTCTCCACTCGGAGCAAGGGTTGTACCTCACATCACGTAAAAAGCTCTGGACAACATTCTGTGTGCCACGGATGCTGTATGGCTGCTCCAGCCTGCCTTTCTCCAAAGCAGTGCTGAATCGCCTTTTATTACCAAGCTTTTCAATCAGTCATTATGTACTGGTATTGTCCCAAGTGCGTTTAAAACTTCTCATGTAACATCGGTGTTGAAAAAGCCCCATTTAGATCGAAATGATTTAAAGAATTATCGCCCTATAGCTAATCCTATGTTTGTTGCTAAAATCAGTGAATGTATTGTAGCTAATTGAAAGTGTATCTTAACAATAATTGTCTATTTTCTGATATGTAATCAGCTTACCGGCAGTTTCACTCAACAGAAACAGCACTGCTCAAAGGCCGCTCGAGTTTATTTTATATACAAGTCCACTCAGTGATGTAATAAATGGACATAGAAACATACACCATGTAACATACGCGGACGATTTTCAGTTGTATGTAATCCTTGAACCCTGTCACCGGTTGGTTAGCTTGACAAATCTTGAAGAGTGTGTTAGTAATGTGAAATGTTGGGCACAGAAAAACTATCTGTTTCTCTCTTTCTCTCTTTCTCGTTCTGCTCACCTTCTCTGGCTCTCTCTCGTTAAGCATAACAGTGACAAATCTGAATTACTTCATATCACATCTCAGTTTCGTAAACCCTTGACCTTGCCAGATTTTGTTTTAGATGACAAAAAATTGTGTACCTCCGAATCGGCCAAAAACCTGGGTGTTACCATAGACACTGCTCTTAATATGACTCACATAAGGAAAGTATGTAAGGCTGTATCTTATGGTATCCACAAAATTTGTAAAATTAGGAATTTGTTTAGATAAACCCACTACAGAACGACTGATACATGCATTTGTCACTTCCCACTTAGACTACTGTGATGGCCTTCTAGTTCATTTGTCACCCTCCAACCTTGTTCCTCTTCAGCGTATCCAAAATGCTGCCGCTCGTCTAGTTACCCGCTCAAGACCTTATGAACATATTACTCCAATCCTCCACAATCTCCACCGGCTGCCAGTTCTCCTTGCCTTTAAAATCTGTAACGGTGAATGCCCCACGTACCTTTCCAGTCTCGTAAAATCCAAACACCCCTCCTCCATGTTGCGTGCTTCAACTTCCTCTCACTTTCAACTAATACCTGGCCCTCGTGTGAAAACAGATACGGTGATAGAGCACTTTCTGTAGCCGCCCCCCAGTTGTGGAATAGCCTCCCTTCCTACATCCAAAATGCTCCTTCTATATCCACTTTCAAAGTAATGTTAAAAACCCATCTGTTCAAATCTATATCATGAATTTTGTCTTCTCTAAACATGTCAATTAAATAAATGATGTCATACTAGTATTTGTTATGAAATAAGTCATCTTTAGCACAATTTAAGTTAGATTAGGTTTATTCATTTATTCATTTATCTGTAACAAACTGTAATTTTGTAACGTAATATAACGTAACATACTGTAATTTTGTACTGAATAATATTGTGGACATTGCTTCACTTAATGGCTGCTGGGACAACAGCACCACAGCGCATAGAAACAATGTATTAGGTGTGTTATAAATGTGATCAATTATTATTATTATTAAAGCACAGATCCACCTGTTCAAACAAATATTGGGGCTTCCAATAACATCAGCTGATGAAGCCGTTTATCTGCTTACCGATACCTTCCCGATTAGTCAGCTGGTCTTACAAGATAAGCTTCTACTCCTAGGGCAGATCTTTAACATTGACTTGGATAGGATTGAATACAGGATGCTCCTTCATGGTATCTTTTCCTACACCTCTTCTATCCAGCAATGGCGCTTGGCTCTAAAGCAGCTCAGCCTTCCCACTCTAGACGAGCTTGTAATAAAGCCCCCAACTATGGAAGCGGATGGTGCAGTCAGCAGTGATGCGAACTTCTGAGTCCAGACAGCGTGTTGGCCTTACCTACAAGACATCTTTATCCCTGTGGACCAGAAGACCTAAACCAAAGGCCAAGGATCTGTATCCTGGGCATATCGCCATGCCAAGCTTTAGGCCAGCTATCACCATTCGAGCCCATATCTCCTGCAAAGTCTTCCTGATCCAAGTCAGGCTTGTCAGGATCAGGAAGGAAGCTGATGACTGCTGTCGTATGTGTCGGGCAGAGCGAGAAGATGTTGAGCACCTTGTTTCAACTTGCCCAGCCCATTCATCTGTGCATCAAGGCCTTATTAAACGTATTAAGGATAACCTCAACACAAAACAGTTCACACAATACTTGAGTCTGTCCCTACGCTGTTCTTGGAGTCGGTGCTCTTTCTCCCTCCTGGATCCATCAGCGATAGTGCCAAAACACAGCTGCATACAATTATTTATACGCAATCTTCACACAACCCGTCAAAATCTACTTAACAACCTTTAAGTACCCCAACGACCTATAGAAAGCCATTTATGGAACTTCAGCAGACTCACAGTGCCGATGATCTCCGATGTTAGCAGAGGAAGGATACAAGAGAGAGAAAGATATTCTACCTGTTATTGCACTTGAACTTGACTTGGTCTCATCTGGCATTACAAAAAGATCAAGGAGTTTCTCTTCTGGGAAATGCCTGACAAAGGGCTTGGCTGACTTTGCCCGATGCAGGAAGATGACAGCATACCCTGCTGCTAGAAAGTATCTGGAAATATCAAAGTGATTGAAAGGGGAAAAATAATATTATTTAAAGTAAAGGTTGAATAAAACTCTAAAAGTATTAGTGACATTACAATAATGGCCAAAGAGATGAAGGCTATTAGGAAGGCTATGAAAGCAATGAATATGAAAGAGCATATTACTGGGGATGAGTATTAGGCTGCCTAGGAGGTCTTTTTTGTCTTCATTGATTACATGATTTTTATGATAGATAATCTTTACATATTTTGAATCCCTTTGATTAAACACTAATTATTTTGTTACCAGCCCTTAATCAAGAAGGTTTGAGATTCTCGATAGTTGATACTGCATCAATATATGATTATCTGTCACCCTAAAGCTAATATTGAGCTCTGGTAGAAAAATGAGAGAAAAAGTGATAAATTGAGCAATATCCGATTAAAAATAGGAAGTTATGAATTGTTGAAGTTGTCATCAGTGCAAATTGGCAACAGTGTGACATATAGATCTCGCAAGCTTTCATTATCTTAGTTCTTGATGACGGAATAGATTTGTTTCATACAGCCGTTGTATAATAACAAACCAGTATTTGCAAGAATCATATTTATGGTGAAAGTATGAATGAAAATTTTCTTAAGGAAAGTTTTTTCATTGAAATTTTTCATTACAGGCCAAATGGGAGGGGACATTGCAGGATACGTCACAGAGTTGCCAATTTGTGTTTGATTGATCGCAACTTCAAATATTCATAAATTTCTTTTTAAATGGTTTTTGCTCATACTCTCACTGACCTGTTTCTCTTTTTTTTCTGCTTCTATTAAAACCAACTTAATATCAAGGTGGACTTTCCCTTTAAAAATTAATTGATATTATATACATTAGAACATTAGAGCATCAGTAATTTATTCTTACTCCTACCAGCCCCTGTATAATTATATGGTTGTGTGGCCGGCAGAAAGGCATTAGCATGTGTGCATGCCATAAAGCAAATTCCTGGTCACTTCCTTTTAATCCCTTTTTTAAAAACATGGCAGGGATTTCTCTTCTGAATAAAAAAATCAAGAAGTGAATATGGATGGTAGCTACATAATTTGGGTATTTTTGTATCAAATACAGTTAACTCTGCATAACTCGAAGTCCAACTTTCTCCAAGTTCAATCAATTTGTTTGACCAAATCATGCGAAGCGTATGTTCTTCTGCTAGCCGCGACACAATAGTTGATGTGATATATTAATTTGTTACCATACTCTGTGGATGCAGCACCTCTGGTACCAGTGCTGAAGTTATCAATGAATCTCACGGTTCTGCTTTCCATTGGTACAGCTGTCCCTCCAGACTGTTTGATGAAACATTGAAAGAAGGATGGTTAAAAAAAAGATTAGCTGCAATAGACCAAATACATTCCCCTCACATGGTGATGCTGACACTGTGCCCTGTTAAAAAAAATATTTGTTTTATTTTCTCCCAGTATTCTTTCATCAAAATTGGCTCCCAACACTTTAGTACGGAGCCCGGGAAGGGACATGGTAAAAATATTTTTATCTCGTTAAAACGAGATAGTATCTCGTTTTAATGAGATAGTATCTCGTTTTAATGAGATAGTATCTCGTTTTAATGAGATAGTATCTCGTTTTAATGAGATAGTATCTCGTTTTAATGAGATAGTATCTCGTTAAAACGACATAGTATCTCGTTAAAACGACATAGTATCTCGTTAAAACGAGATAGTTATCTCGTTTTAATGAGATAGTATCTCGTTAAAACGACATAGTATCTCGTTTTAATGAGATAGTATCTCGTTTTAATGAGATAGTATCTCGTTTTAATGAGATAGTATCTCGTTAAAACGACATAGTATCTCGTTTTAATGAGATAGTATCTCGTTTTAATGAGATAGTATCTCGTATAAGTCCATTGCATACTGGAACCGGGTGGTCCCTGTATTAAGCCTATGGGAGTGAGAGAATTCAGTAGTCCACGGGTTAACAACATAATACCCGCGAGGCTAGACTAGACTGCGCGCGCTCGCTGCTTAATGCAGTAATAGCGTATATAGCCAGGCGGCCATGCCATGCCAGGCCTTGTACGTATGTACTACTATTAAGTTACGTCTACGGTAGATCAACTGAATTCAACCAGAAGTTGCCGGTTGCAATCGCGAGGATTGAAGGTTAGTTCACTTCTTTTACTTATTTATGGCCGGGTCATTCAATGTAAAAGTGAACAAACAGCTAATTTAACAGATTTGCTCTTTTTCGCGATCAGTTCTAGATCTGTGTAACGTTAATTTTAAGACTGCTCAATTAAATTAGCAGACTGCAGTCCCCATCGGAAGCGCCCTGTTCTGGGGCCCGACGCTTCAGGCTCTCCGCGGTCTGGGTCTGGGACCCTGGCCTTGGGCTTGGCCTGCTGGGAAGGCTGTGGTCATTTTGCAAGCTAGAGACAAAGTAAACTAGATCTAGATCTAGACGTTACTTTTTTACGTGCTCGCATTGCAGTAGAAGTGTTGAATTTTCGTATGTATAGATCTAGACTAGTCTAGATATACGAGGAAAAAGCAAGCAAATGTCAGAATTGTAAAAAAAAAAAAACCCTCATATTCCACGGCTATTGATGTCTAGTGTGTAGAGTCTAGATCTAGATTCAACTATGCAATATGCAATACACCGCAACTTAGTCTTAGTATAGATCTAGATCTATTTCAGCGGCGCGGCGGATCCAGGATTTTTCAAAAGGGAGGGCCGAAGTTGGACCGAAATATCAGCCTCTATTTGGCGTTGACGGTTGGATCCGCTGAGATTGCATATCTGGCTTCTCTAAATGCCTCTGAGCTCTGTCATTTTGTCAAAAGAATGCCCCCAGAAAGATGGTTATTCCTGTCTAGGCCGAAGTCTGCTCAGCCTCAGGGCCTCATCAGGCACCGGAAAAATTCGCTGACCAGCGAAAAAAGTGGAAAAAATGATCCTTGGCTTTTTCAAGTGTCTGTTTAGATCTAGTCTAGATCTACCCAAAATATTCCTTGACAAGCAAACAAAAAGGAGAAGGGGAGGGCCATGGCCGATTCCCCCCCCCCTTGATTCCGCCACAGTATAGATTCTATGACTATGTTGTTCAAATTATTTGCTAGGTACCAGTTTACTAGTAGGTTTATTGTCACCCTTAGTCCTTACACTTCTAGCCATGTAATAACATTAACAGTAACTGGGATTTTGTCAAAATGTTTACATTTACGTATCTAGAGGCTAATAAAAAAACATCAGTGCAACACTGTTGAGTATGTTGAAGCACTAAAAATAGAGGATTTATTTATTTAATAAATTTACTGTCTTCATATTAACTTTCATTGCTAACATGTTGAGCTATTTGATAAAAAATTTTTTTTTTTTTTTTTTTCTCAGTAAATTTACAATATTTTAATGTTTAAATGTTGCTGAAATAGTTACTTGACAAATGCAAAGTAAGATTAATAAACAAAAACCAGTGTGCATGAAAAGTTTATTTAACCAGTTCTTTGGGGGGAAAAACACTGTTGCCTGTGCGTTTTAGATAGGTATACACCATGGGGCTAACGTAGTGAGCCCCATGCCTGCAGGGGTGGTTTATTGTACTAGTAACTACGAGTGTAGAAAATCAATAAGTTTTGAAATATTATAAATAAGGACTAGACCTAGACTGCATGCATGGCTGGAATACTCCCCCAGGGAGTGGAGAATGTGCATACATTGTGTGCGGGCAATCCTGATTGAATCCGATGACCGGGGACGGGGTAATAATAATCTGTAAACTGCTTAGATACATTATTAATGTCTTACTCTTAAGCACTATAAAAAAGCGGATTATTATTATTATTGATTGTGTTTTCAATATTTTAATTTTGTATTCATTGTATTTCTTCAGTAACTTAATGCCTGGCTAAAACATCGACAAACTTAAACTAATGTCATACATAAGTGTTAATACATGTGTAGGATCTACATCTATATAAGTTAGTTGGGAGTAGACTCTAGACCCTATATCATACATGTATGTATATGGTCCATCCATGCATGGACCACATACTCATCTCCCATCTTCCAAAAAAGAATAGCTAATGATTTTGGTAACAAAAAAATTGCCTCACTAATCATCACTGCTTCTTTGTTTTCTGTCTTCAGCGTGTTCTTCGGCAACACTGAGGCAGCATTTGAGAAGAAATATCCCTTAGGCTCAGCTCACCAATTGAAGGACAAGGACAAGGGTTCTATCCAGAGTTTCCAAGTAAGATAATTCCTCTTATAATCCTATTCAGTGTAAGTGTTAAAAAAAGAAACTGAATTGAAATAAGAAATTAAATTAGATAGAAGAATAGGCAGCAAGATGAGGGGTAATGGAATGTAAGTTCTAGGAAAAAGTTTTGAAAACACTTGTAACGATTTCTGGATCTGGATGTATACGATGCTGGACCAGTTGGTATATGATTGCAGCAGATAAGAGAGGGCGCAAAGAATAGATAGTTGAATCGTAGGTGGCTCTTCTCAATCTTAGACTTGAACACCTTTGATGATGGACAGACTATTGATTACTTATTAGAGTACAGACTCAGTAATTTTGAATCCAAAGGACCTGTAGATGGTACGTACTGAACTGATAGACTCTTAGAGCTGTAGCGTACCTTTAGGATAGACCTAAACAATCCAATTTTCTGGGCATTAGTTGGCACATAACCTTATTCTTGAAACTTATGACCTAATTCTTGTGCAGCCCTGATATGGGTATTAATTGCACAGGTCACTTACTGACTTTTTCTTAAATTCTCTTTTTAGGCACAATTTTTGTAGGGTGTTTTCTGCAGCTGTGACCCATGCATACACACCCTAGCCTCCAGCACAGCATTGACCACCCAGCTAATCTCATTCAGGTATGACTTTCTGGGATTGATTTGAAGCTCAATGAACAGAAGGCTCAAGATTAGCTATTGTCACCTTCATTAGGGGTGGGTTCATTAGGATCAGGGGTGGGGGCTAAATGGAAAAGGGAACAGATTTATCAATTTTTTTGGTCAAAATGCATGATCACATGTAACCAAACTTGGCAGGAATCATTCAAAATTCTACCCATGGATGTACAATTTTTAATCATGCATGTAACTCAATAAATGTCTTAAGATTGTTCTAAAGATAAAAGAAAGGGGCTAAAGTGTGGTTCGATTCACCTCTCATTCCATGTGTATACCTTCACCATGTACAAAGTCTATGGCACTAGACTATGGAAATGGTAAGCTGTCACTGGCAATTCAATGCCAATGATGAAATAAATGGCAGTGCTTGGAGTGGTGACATTAACCATAATGCGATTGAAGTAAATAATGAAATGTTTCATGTATTTAAAAAAAAAATGCATTTTCAGATTGTAACCGATATATGTATGACTATAGGAATCATCCATGAGGATAGGAGCTCAATGTAACTTAATTCAAACTCTCTGCAAGTGAGAATCAGCAACAGGTAAATTATTCACAAGTTGCATATTATAGTAAGTTCATACATGTACCTCTTCAAAAAACAGAAAGACTAAACATTTTATTATATTTCAAGAAATGTAGGTAATTGTTAGTCACTACCTAAGCCCCCCCCCCCCAAAAAAAATGCATCATTAGTCGTCACTGTTCCCTCCTTTTTTCATTTTCAGCATTTTCCTTGGCAACATTGAGGCAGCATTTGAGAAGAATTAACCTTCAACTCACCAACCTGCTCTTAGGCATTTTCTTCAAGGATGCTATCCACAGATGCCAAGTAAGTGGAACAGATATACATGTACGAGGTGTGTCAGAAAAGTTCCAGGACTGATATCACAAAAGAAATATATACCCAAATTACAGACTTTGAGTTTTCCCTTTCGAAGCAATCCCACTGGAGTCTTACACAATGTCCCATCTTTCTCTGCCATGCCTCCATGCACTCCTGAATGATTTTTCTTGGATCCTCTGCAGCTTTTTCCGTCCTCATGGCCATGTTTACATCTTCCACATTTGTAACTCTTTGTGCGACCAACCATGAAACCCCTGTGTGCCCCATTATTTTAGGGAGTGACAATTTTGCCGCATTCTGCCAGACACTCCTAATTCAAAGGGCTGTAACTTTTTCTGCAATCGTTATGAAGAAAAATTGTGTCCAGCAAAGTTGTCTAGTTTTGTATTGGCTTTCCAGTCATATATATTTCTCCCAAAGAAACAAGAATTTAGTCATGCAATTTCAAGCATATTATTTGGTTCCAGAACTGAAACATTCAATATAACATTACTACAGTGTTTAGATACCTATACAAGTGGAGAATAAAACTTGTTCATGACAGTTCCCAGAGTAGCCCAATGGACTCGTGTTGGGTAACAGTTTTTTGTTTGTTTGTTTTGTTTTGTTTTTGTTGTCGTTGTTCTTTTTTTTTTTTTGGGGGGGGTTATTTGAATTAAATGTGTTATTATTGTAGAGATAGGTAATGCAAGGTTGTGCAAATGGTAATGTGGCCCCAATGAGGTCCCATATCCTTAGCAGCTCCACAGGGAGCATGTGAATTCATCTGTAAGCTCAGGTGAGCATTAATCCCCTTATTTTTCCCAGTGCACATGTGCACACTTGAATTGTTTCCTTGGAAACATGGAATGCACATGGCAACTATTACAGTTACAGTCCTCTTCTTCTTCTTTTTTTTTTTTAAATGAGACTTTTCCTTCTTTTGAGATGCCCCCTCAAAACTCATGATGCATCTTACCAAATTCTCTTTCCATTCTATCTTTGGAAGATGTATAAGCATTCTTTCTTTATTAGTTAGATGTTTGAAGATTTGTGAGAAGGATAAATTAAGACTTGGACATTATGTTTCTTCATTGATTGTAAACTTCCTGATTTTTGCATGTAATATTTATAAATCTTATTTTTTAATTCTCCTGCAGATAGCTACAGATTGTGTTAAGGATATGGACTCTGAAAACATGGCGAAAGGTGGACAGAAATCCTTAATAGATTTCCTGAAGGAACGACAAGTGGAGGAAGCTTTGCTCAGAGCCATGGAGAAAGATAAGGTAGCTCTTTGTGTATACATACTGTTCATATCTCCTTTTTTAAAAGAATCAAAAGTATTGGAAAAGGCACATTATTATGTGACAGAAATGATGTAAGAAACTGGTAATGCCTTTATAATACTCCAGTGCTGCAAACAGATTTCATGTGTGCAGGCTAATGTCTGTTTGTTTCTTTCAAAAGTAATACCAAAGCCAAAAGAAAGTGCTCTGCATATAAATGTGCTTACTGTCATATGTTGAAGTGTAGAGATAAACATTTAGCTATGGAGATTTGTCACAAGAAAGTCAAGCATCCTATTTCTTTTGGTGATTGCAGTATTATACCTCTGCATATTCCATTGTTATGGGTAGAAAGATATGTGACCATTTGGTATAAATTTTAGAAGTTTTTAAAAGCAAAGTGAGATCAGGTGAGCCTAGTGGTTGCTCAACCCCCTTGTTTGGTGAAATTAGCAAAAAAGGGTACTTCCAAGGGGGCATCTCGAAAATAGTGCCATAGGTTTATGTACATCGAGCACTTTGTCAAGTACTTTAGGTAGGGTTGATGTTGCTACATTCTTCTTTAAGTAGATGGATGAAAATTCTCTAATTCAACAAAGATTTTACAGGGCAAATTGGAAAACAAAACTTGAAAATTAATGATAAAACTACACCCAAAATCTCACAGAACAAAAAACCTAAGTGGTATCGACAATTTATAGCTATAAGGTGAGGTAAGGGACTCCATTGTAGTAATTCATTTTGATGAGAATTTTATTGATAGCCAATGCTTACATGTGATGCTGGTCCAATATGTAAAAGTCAATGTCATAGATCACTCAACTTTGGTGAAGGATGTCTGTTTTCCAGATATTTACAAAAATCAAGATATTTTGCTGATATTCCAAGAAATGTACCAGTCTTTATGTGTTGTAAGTAATGTAATGTAAGTTTACATACAGACAGGCAAATATTTAGGCTTAACCCTAAAGAGGCCGAGTTATTTAGGCTATCTCACAGCAGGGGGGGGGGGGGGGGTCGACTGCGCAATCGCCACAAAAATCGGCGTGCACACGATGCTTGTGACATAATCTACAAAATTGTATATTTAATTTTTCTGAATTTATTGAATTTTATTTTATATTAATTAATTATGCTAATTTATGCATGGAATCAGACATTTTGCTCTAAATCACTTAAAGGTCCAAAAGTGCTAATTTTGGTCTAAACACTCTACGTAGTATTTTTAGCAAATGAACTTGAAAAAAATTCCCGTATCAATCTGAATTTCTTGTGTATTTTATTGTCTTTAAAATTTCTCATGTATTTCTTTGTTTTTTGACCTTTTGTTTTTTTATTGTTTTTTTCGACAAAATTTGTCGGTGACACTTTTGCGATCATAAACAACATAGAATTAATTAATTTTAATCAATAGAAGTAAAAATATTCATACATCTATGAATTTTCTCTGAAAACACAATTTGTATTGAAAATGTACATGAAATCACGTTTTTTTTTAGCAGTTTTTGGTCCGACGTGCAAGTGCCAAATGTTGTGTACCTTCGGAACCGCGCGCCCAGGCATTGCAAATTTGGTGTCAAAAGATGCGAGAGGTTTGAAAGAAAAAAGTCCTGAAACTTCGCGGTAGAATTTGTTTGCGTTGCAGACATATCGCACGAAACGTCCCCCGGCCCTGTTAGGGTTAAAGAACAGATAAAAACAGCAGTGGTTCAATGGGCAAATAATTTATTCAGTTCACCCATGATCTTATGTATGTAGGTCAAAGGTCATAGCTCATCAAATATGCAAAATAGCTAATTATATATGCAAAAATGTGGTTTCCATTCGATAACGTAAGTAATGTTGTTGAGTATATAAGTCAAAGGTCAAAGGTCACAGCTCATTAAATTGCAATAATTGCTAGTTATGTAAATTTGTACCAGGCTAGAGGATGCTACGCTTTGCGTTGCCCTTGTTAAAGAGTAATTTGGGGTTTATTGAAGTATGGTTACCATGTGTAATATAGAAGAGCATTCGCTTCTAATCTCCCATCTGAAAGATGTTTTTTTTTTTTAATTCCTTCTCAGATTGACTGCCATGCCTTGCTTGAAATGGATGATGAATGCTTGAAGGACTACCTCCCTGCCTTCGGTGATAGACTCGCTGCAAGGGCATTCTGCAGGTGTCAAACTAAAAACGAAAAACCATCGTCAAGCCTTCTGGAAAGGCTGAGAACAAGACTTTCAAGAAAAAAAAAGTCAGTTGATGACAATCCCCCCTCAAAAAAACGTAACAATGCACACAAAGATACACGAAAATTAGAAGTAGGGTGGATGGATTTTGACTATGCAACAAAGGAATTAAAGCAAGTGAGGAGTCAAGGCGGAGGAGGGACAAGAGAAATAAGAGCAAACAAGAGCGAAGGACTAGACAACCTTCTTGCAACTGCAAAAGGGCTATTTTTCCCTGATGGTAAATCCAAAAGGGGTAAAATTGAAGACTACGAAGTGGACATTCAAGATTTTAGAGGATGTGAGATGAGGAATTCCACTGTAGGCGAACTGTATGAAAATGCGAAATCACGTGTTTTGAGACTATACCTGTGCACCAAAAAAAAAAATAGAGACCAACCATCGACAGAAACCTCTTCAGACAATCAAAGTGAAAACCAGCCAGAAGAAGAAAGTGATTCAAGTGACTGTTATGTTGTCCAGTTTGGGAGAAAAAGTGATGAAGGCACACAATCTCAGCTAGATGAAACATTACCATTAAACCTTGAATATGTTGGAGGTTGCATGATAGATGATGATTGTGAATTACCACCAATACATTTGGGATTCTCGGACTTTGAAGGTCAATCTGTAAACCCACAACGATCCACTAATATTAGTGCCGAAATTCAACCTCCAAACCAAGCACAAGCCACTGACAATGGTGCTCACACTCAACCAAGAAACCAAACACTAGATACTGACAATCGTGCTCAAACTCAACCAGGAAACCTACAACAATCCACTGACAATCGTGCTCAAGCTCAACCAGGAAACCTACAACAAGCCACTGACAATCGTGCTCAAACTCAACCAGGAAACCTACATCAAGCCACTGACAATCGTGCTCAAACTCAACCAGGAAACCTACATCAAGCTACTGAAAATGGCGATCACACTCAACCAAGAAGCCAACAACAAGCTGATGCTCAAATTCAACGTGCAAACCCTCAACAAGCTGCCATAGATTATGATCTTCAGTTAGATGATGCGGGAATTCCTTCAGATACAAAAGCTCTGCAAATCCGTTTACATCGAAGCAATATCCAAGCTGAAATGATTGCACTTTTCAAGACGCCTGAGATCCTTAGTATCCAGTTGAAGGTAACTTTTGTAGAGGAGTTAGGAGTGGATGCCAGAGGAGTATCTAGAGAAGCATATAGTGCATTTTGGAACTCCTTTTTTAATACATCTGCAGATGGCGAGGATTACAGGGTGCCTTCATTGAACCCTGAATACGGTTTGGAGGAATGGCTGTCCATAGGGAGGATTTTGTCAAAGGGATACTCTGACCATAACATTTTCCCTGTGCAATTGGCCCCAGCCTTTCTAATAGCCGTCATGTTTGGAGAGGAGACAGTGTCAACTGAGGACTTACTTGAAACATTCCTCCTGTTTCTTAGTCCACTTGAAAGAGCTACAGTGAAGCAGGCTCTACAAGGAGATGTTCTGTCAGATGACGAGCAAGACATATTTGAAGACATTCTAGACCGTGAGGGATGTCACTCTATCCCTAAAGGGGAAAATGTCCGGCCCACAATCTACCAACTGGCCCACAAAGTTATCATACAGAAGAGTATGTATGCACTGGAGGGCATGAGAAAGGTGGTCAGAGATGCCCTACACTCAGCTTTTCCAGATGTTAACTCTATCAAGATAATGTATGGCTCTCTAAAACCTACTCCTAAGAAAGTCTGTGATTTACTTGCCGCAAATCCTCAAACAAGGGAGGAGGCCCAGTCGCTTAGATTTTTGCAGCAATACATCCGAGCCCAAAACGAAGAAGGTCTAGGCACATTGTTGAGATTTTTGACAGCTTCGCCTGTAATGACTGCCACACAGATTTCTGTACAATTCACAAATACCACTGGATTAGCTCGAAGGCCAGTGGCTCACACATGCGGACCAATGCTTGAGCTGCCAACAAGTTATACTTCATATAGAGATTTCAGATCAGAGTGGCAAGCGGTACTTTCAAGTGGCTACCTCGCCATGGACATTGCATGATTTTTTTTTTGTGTTTGTTGTTTTTGGTTTGTCTCGCGCATACTTCAAAGTTAGGAAAATTGGTGTTAACCTGTATTTTCGAAGAGATGTTTTTAAGTGTTTAAATAGATCTTCAACATGTATTGTCAATCGATATGACACAAACTTTGGAGGAAATGATCCTTAAAATGTCAATACCAAATTTCTTTCATGATTTAAAATATAAATATGAAGTATGGTATTTCATAAAGAAAATTCATAGCTTTCATTTGACTCCAATATCTAACTTTAGTTTATTGGCAGTGGAATGTTAAACATTTGATTGTCTTGCTTTAAAACTCGTCCAGATGTCTGCATGAAGTATGAATAGTTTCAAATTATTCTGTAGCAGGTCCCTAACGTCCCTGTCATAATAATGGCCTACCATCAATGCACAGTACACGTTGCATGGTGTGACATGCATTACATGTAATAGCAAGTTCACCTTTACTTGCACTTTTTTTCCCTTCTCTAATGATTATTTTAGTTTTCTTAATTCTTTTTAAATTCCTTGTTATAGATTCTTTTAAATGCTGTGACATCGCTCAATGGCAGTGAATACGGTTTTTAGAACAGGAATTTTTTAATCAAAATTCATGACGATTTTTACAATGCATTATATGGTTGCTAATAACATTGCCTAGGTTTTGTCAGTTATTCCTCCAGCTTAGTGAAGTTTAATTTAACCCATAGAGATACAGAGCTTTCTTCAGGTCTGAATTAATCAGCTTTCACTCCTCAAATTGGCAACAATTATTATCTTTTTCCTCTCATAGTCTGAAAAAAAAATTAAAATGGATATAACATTAATCAAAATGAATAATAATTGCAAAATTTAATGTAAAATTGCCAATTTTCACATGTAAATAGTGATTACATATTTTCATTGCATTGCCAATTGAGTTTAATGATTAGTTAAAGTTAAACTGCTCGTCAGCATGCCCTTATGATAACTCTTTATATGCACCCATAATTCTTATGTTGGTACTCCTGTTTCCAGATATGAATATATTTGTTATATTACAGGTTACTTTGGAGGAATGGGCTAGAGTGGAATAACCGTAACCCTGAAATTCTGGGAAAAAAATAATTTCCTGAAATCATCCATTTTGTTCACGGTCAAGAACAAAGTAGCAAGTTTTGAGTTTGCCCTTGTAGTTGTCTTTTGTTAGGTATTTTTCTTTTAAAATTATTGTTACATTTCCAGCTCACCTGAGCCAAGGACTCGCATCCTGTCAGTTGTGCGCTGTCCATCCTGCCGCATCTGGGAACTTTTTTTACATTTTTATCAAAATTGAATTGTTCAGTTTGAAGTGATGATATACATGTGGGGGCTTGACAAGAAATAGCGTCAAGTTAATTAATTAGCATGCTGAGAAGAGCATCTATCCCCACAGGGCTCTTGTTAATGATGTTACATTTTTCTGACATTGTTTTGTTTCATAATTTTTCTGTACTAGTTACATGTATTGTATTAATTGTTAACTTATATCAGTGCCCGATGCACTTGTTTTTTAGTTCATGGTTATTACATGAGAAGAACGGTTTTGTCCATTGATAAGTCTTTTTAGTACTGATCTGCTCTATTCTCTTAGTAAAATTGACCGTGTCCAAATACGTTGGAAAAGGAAAGCCCTAGGATAGATCTTCAAACTTGTTTACAAATTGCTTCCTACGTCATTATGCGAACACATTTCTTTAAAAGGATGTTCTTACGGGCTCAGAAATTCCGGCCATAAACTATCTTAAGGAAAACTCAAAACAAACAATGGGATTTATCTATACGGGTGTCCAATTATACAACGTGTTGCCTGAAAGAGTATCTTTTCTCAAATCGTAAGCTCTTTGAAGCAGAGGTAGATGCATTGTACCATTAAAGTGTCAGTCTCCCCCCAACCTCCACCTCCCTCTTTCTCTTCCTCTCTCTCTCTGTCTTATGTTCTCCCCTTCTCTTCCTCTTTCTCCTCAGACTTCCCCCTATATGCTCTCGCGTCCTCTTCTTCCCTCATCTTTGTTCTCCTTTTCCCTTCAGTTACTATACAAATGACACAGACATCTTACATGTATTGTTAGGTTTTCTTGTTTTTATTATGTTTCTCTCATTGTTATCGTATTCATTTCATTATCATGCTTAATTAATTATGCTTATTATTACTAGGTTGTTTCTCTGTGTAGTTCTATTCAATGTAATTTCTGTATGATTTATGTTTAAGTTTTTTACCGTGGTTAAATAAATTCAATCAATTATTCAATGAAGACTTTTTTTAATTGGTCCCGACAGATGAGCAAGCTCCCATTACATAATAGGTATACTATTATGTTCCCTATGGCTAGCCATCTTTGTAGAGCCACCCAGGTGGAGTAAAACTAAGAGATCAAAATGTCATCTGTCCATAGTGCTTACAAAAATGTGAATAAATTAAAATAAAAAAAAATTTGGTGGGTATATTGTTCATGCATGGGGACCCCCATATTTAGCCAAAATCAAAGGTCATGTAAGTATTTTAATATTCCAGCTGTCACTTTAAGGACAATTATACCCATACATCATTAACATAAATATTTAACTTTTAAGCAGATTAGTGAAAGTTTGAGCAAAATTAGATGATCCATTCAAGAGTTATGATTTCTTGAAATTTGATAAATTCCACGTCGCCCTCTCTTGATAAGAATTTGTGATGTCATAGGCGAACAGCAATAATATACAAAATTTAGGGGAAAAAAAATCACAAAAGGTCATTTTTCTTGGTAATCAAAACAAAACTTGACCTATCTCATTCAGAAAGCATACAAAAGATATTAACCTCTACATATTTCAATAAGATGTTGAGGGATTCCTCACTGATTCCATGTTCTGATTCCTGAAATCAAAGGACTGTGTTTGTATAAATCAGTCTGTTGTCGAAGTGTTATTTTTGTTTACTTGCAATTAAAGTTATACCTGTCATTCATCTTGCTCGTTTCCCAAATGTCTTATGTGACAACAATAGTGTTGGATGTCCATGTTTTTGCCTTCTGTGTCAATTTTTTCTTCTTCTTGTAACGTTGCTTTTCATGTGTGTGGGTGCCTATTTTCACCTTTACATCTATATCTATTGAAGATGAAGTACCACTGTGGAGCAGAGAAATAACTGTTATGTAACAATTAGATGGAAATTTATAGAAATTCGAAGACAAGTAAAAAAAAAAAAAAAAATCACAATTTCAGACATGTAATTGTTCAAATTCAATAAAATGTCTTTTCAACAGAAATTTCAAAGCATACAATTGGTAAATCCTTACATTAGCAATAACTGAGTGAAAATTTAGCCCCCCCCCCCCCCCCCCCCGGGCTATTGAGGGTTAAGATATATTTTGCTTCAGGGGTTTCAGCTTAATTTCCTGAATGCATATATTTAAAGCAACACAGTAATCTCCTGCTTCAGATGGATGTACAATTCTAAGGCATCCTGGACTTCCATTGGTTGATCAAGGTTGTCTCTTTTCATAATATACACACACAAGTCATATACATCTTTGTCGCATGGTACGGTAGATCGGAATACAGCATCACTTATGCATGCAGCCAGATCGTCATCATCAACATTGGTGCAAAGCTGATCTTCAGTACCCCAGATTTGTGGAGTATGATACATCATCATTGGATGGCCACTTGGTACATGGAGATTCACAGAGGGTCGGATACGGTGATTGTTCCATATATCAGCCATCTTGTCTAGCTCTGTCTGTAAAATAATTTGTGAAACAATACTACCATGGTGAAATTACTGTGTGCAACGAATCTGATAAATACAACTTTAAGTTATTAGTAATCCAATTACGGCAATATAGAACTACTTGATTAAGAACCTGATATATTAAGGCCATATTCTTGGTCTAAGTCCTCTGCAGTTAATTGTATTGTGCACTCACAATATATTGTACGGTACACATATGCTACTGAAATGCCCCAATTTTATGCCCTAAAAATTCTGATGCATGTAACTTTCAGATTAATTACATGGCAAATTTTCATATTTTTGTTCCAGAGCCCACAAATGTTGACAATAAGTGACAATACTTCACCTTTTCAATTCCATTGAATCATGCTTAGTCTTTTATCCCAAACCTTCAAATGTGACACCGGGCTGCCTCAGAGGAGCGGCTGCCATGTGAGGAATGTAATTCGCATGGATAAGAGTTCTTTGCATATCCAGCTTTTGTGGCAAGTAAACTGTTCCAAAGCATTACATTATTCAACATGCCTTTACATAGTTAAGTCAGATTTAGATGTAGTTCCAAAGCACATTTTGAGGTCTGAACTCCTTGGATCTTTAGTTCCAGTGAACCCCCATTTTTGGTGAGCCCCCTAATTTTGCCTCTGCTGTACTTGTGGCACATATACCTACATGTACATGTACCAGCATGTGGGGTGAATGCCCCCAACCCTCATAAAATAAAATATATTGTAAATGTAATAAGAAACACAATTTTTTCAATGACTAGATTCCAAGTTCTGTCACAAAGATGCATGGTAACCAGTGCTTTTCTAAATCATTAAGAAGAGTGAAATGCCTGGCCAGAAAAATTAATTATCATTTGGGCATCACTAGTAAAGTAAGACATCATTTGGGCATCAAAAAACATCATTTTGGTACGGTAAGCAATAGGCACCATTTGGTCATCAGGAGGCATCAATGGTCATCAGAATAGGCACCATCAGAAACTGGCATCACAGTCATCATTCAGGCATCACGGCATTATTTGTTCAGAAGAAGGCATCATTAGTCATCACTGTGAAAGTTTCTAGGACAAGGCTTTATGATGCCTCCAAAAATTTAAGTTTTAGTCACTAAAAAAGCCTTAGAGAGGAAGCCTTTTTGATAGCACAACTATGAACAGGTTATGAATGGAAGTTTATCTGACTTGACTCAGGACGTGTACATATACAAACAACATCATGGGGGGGGGCTGGAGCAACCACGCCCTTTCTGATCTCGGCCGTGGATCGATGCAACATTTTCCACCAATGTACAGTCTGATGCAAACTACAAGACCGTATAATAAATTTTTCAAAAACTCTATTTTTAACTAATTATGCAAATTTATGCAGAAAATCATATTTTGCCATCTAAATCAATTTAAAAAGGTTGAACATTCCTTATGACATGTGTAACAATTTTCTTAACAAAAAAAAATGCAGTAGCAAAATATTTCTTTGTCAAATAATGTATTGTTTAATGAATATCTTATGTATTTCTTTGTTTTTGCAACCTTTTGTTTTATTTGTTTATATTTTGTATAATTCTACTTAAGAAACTTTGATAATTCAGAACAATTTACATGTATTTGTCAGTCAGGGTCAAATGTTACATTGTATGGGTCGGAGCAGGTCAGGAGAAAAAAAAAACCTAAATGATTTACATGTATGACCATTTTCCTGATATCATTTCTCTAATGCCAATTTGATGACTTCTGATGCCAATGATGACTTATGATGCCTGATGCCAAATGATGGCTCCTGATGTCTGTATGATGTCTGATGCCAAATTATGCCTTTTGATAACTGTTTGATGCCTATTTGGCCTATTTGCCATTAAATCTAATGTTATTTAGAACTATTATTTCAAGGGTTTCAAGGGTTCCAATTGCTGCCTTTTTGATGACTCTGATGCCACCATTGCATCAATGACTTGTAAATCAGTCATCATGATGACTGTTCTTTCTGGTAGGGTGCTCACCTGTAGAATGCTCATGAAACAGAACTGAACAAGATTCTTGTCTAGAAAGTCTCCAGTGAAGTCCCCTCTGTCTGACAGCCTTCTGAAGGTCTCAATCCAAAAATGTGTACATTCCTTCCGCAAAAATGCCCACCAGTATTCAATCCTTTGATTGCTAGTGCTTGATCCTTCGATGTACACTCTTCGTTCTAAGTCATAATTATGATGAAAGAAGTTTTGAAAGGCACAAATGTGTCCATTTTCGGTGCCACGATCAGCACGAACTTTGCAAGGGAAGCCACCACATTCCATAACAGTTTCCAAGAAGTATCCTCCTACTAATTTTGGATCATTGTTTGTATTATACACATTCAACCACATTACTTTTCGTGAATAGCCATCTATGCATCCACTGATGCATAATCCAAACGGCTTTAGTTTATCATATCCATCAACGTGCCACACATGATTTGGTCCTTTAGCAAAGTAAGAACGTCTGGTTAGTCGTCTAGCTGTTCTGGCTGCTACGCCTTCTGGATCCAGATACTTTAAAATGACACGAACATCCTCCTTTCTCACATGCATACCATTCTGTCTGCATTTAGCATGCATCATGCGGTATCCGTGCAACTGACCTGACCCTTGAAGCTCATGCTCAATAAACTGTACCACATCAGCTAAGTTAGTGTAATGTCGGCGACGAAAGTTATTCAGAGCTAATATCCTCTTGAGATGTCTTTCACTAAGTTCTATGCCATGTTCTTGTGCTAAGATATAAATGATTTCCTTATAGGACATTCCCAGGTTAAAGTACAAACTGATCAAATGATCACGGCCAGCCATTGACTGTGTTCAGTGGAATGCTGACGCTGATGCTAATGCTGATCTTGGCTTTGATTAGTTCTAAGCTTTCCCACCAAGTCAACCGACTATTGGAAATCAATCTGATGTCGATGTGCCAGAGCATATGTATGAAGGAACCTAGAAAGATAAAAAATAACAAAATATTATAACAATATAACAATAATGCTATTAGTAAAATAATAACATTTTAGTCATACTCATAATAATCATAATAATAACTAGAAATATCACTGAAGGTGATTAATACCCCCGCCCCGCGCAGTTATTCATTGCGTCACAGTATGTTTTGTTTTTCAGTTTTTGGAATAATATGCCGTTACCATGGCAACACACATTCTGTCACTGTCCCAAAATGTGTCCTACACATCTACACTTCAAAGCAAACATGTGTGCCAAGTTTAATTTGAAAATGCATTTTCCCCTCAATTGTTGGCATAATATGTCGTTACCATGGCAACACATTTTCCCCCATTCTTAAAAAAGTTTCTTGCCCATCTACACCTCAAGGCCAACATGTAAAAAAATTGATAAATCTGTTCCCTTTTCCATTTAGCCCCCACCCCTGATCCTAATGAACCCACCCCTGATGAAGGTGACAATAGCTAATCTTGAGCCTTCTGTTCATTGAGCTTCAAATCAATCCCAGAAAGTCATACCTGAATGAGATTAGCTGGGTGGTCAATGCTGTGCTGGAGGCTAGGGTGTGTATGCATGGGTCACAGCTGCAGAAAACACCCTACAAAAATTGTGCCTAAAAAGAGAATTTAAGAAAAAGTCAGTAAGTGACCTGTGCAATTAATACCCATATCAGGGCTGCACAAGAATTAGGTCATAAGTTTCAAGAATAAGGTTATGTGCCAACTAATGCCCAGAAAATTGGATTGTTTAGGTCTATCCTAAAGGTACGCTACAGCTCTAAGAGTCTATCAGTTCAGTACGTACCATCTACAGGTCCTTTGGATTCAAAATTACTGAGTCTGTACTCTAATAAGTAATCAATAGTCTGTCCATCATCAAAGGTGTTCAAGTCTAAGATTGAGAAGAGCCACCTACGATTCAACTATCTATTCTTTGCGCCCTCTCTTATCTGCTGCAATCATATACCAACTGGTCCAGCATCGTATACATCCAGATCCAGAAATCGTTACAAGTGTTTTCAAAACTTTTTCCTAGAACTTACATTCCATTACCCCTCATCTTGCTGCCTATTCTTCTATCTAATTTAATTTCTTATTTCAATTCAGTTTCTTTTTTTAACACTTACACTGAATAGGATTATAAGAGGAATTATCTTACTTGGAAACTCTGGATAGAACCCTTGTCCTTGTCCTTCAATTGGTGAGCTGAGCCTGAGGGATATTTCTTCTCAAATGCTGCCTCAGTGTTGCCGAAGAACACGCTGAAGACAGAAAACAAAGAAGCAGTGATGATTAGTGAGGCAATTTTTTTGTTACCAAAATCATTAGCTATTCTTTTTTGGAAGATGGGAGATGAGTATGTGGTCCATGCATGGATGGACCATATACATACATGTATGATATAGGGTCTAGAGTCTACTCCCAACTAACTTATATAGATGTAGATCCTACACATGTATTAACACTTATGTATGACATTAGTTTAAGTTTGTCGATGTTTTAGCCAGGCATTAAGTTACTGAAGAAATACAATGAATACAAAATTAAAATATTGAAAACACAATCAATAATAATAATAATCCACTTTTTTATAGTGCTTAAGAGTAAGACATTAATAATGTATCTAAGCAGTTTACAGATTATTATTACCCCGTCCCCGGTCATCGGATTCAATCAGGATTGCCCGCACACAATGTATGCACATTCTCCACTCCCTGGGGGAGTATTCCAGCCATGCATGCAGTCTAGGTCTAGTCCTTATTTATAATATTTCAAAACTTATTGATTTTCTACACTTGTAGTTACTAGTACAATAAACCACCCCTGCAGGCATGGGGCTCACTACGTTAGCCCCATGGTGTATACCTATCTAAAACGCACAGGCAACAGTGTTTTTCCCCCCAAAGAACTGGTTAAATAAACTTTTCATGCACACTGGTTTTTGTTTATTAATCTTACTTTGCATTTGTCAAGTAACTATTTCAGCAACATTTAAACATTAAAATATTGTAAATTTACTGAGAAAAAAAAAATAAAAAAATAATTTTATCAAATAGCTCAACATGTTAGCAATGAAAGTTAATATGAAGACAGTAAATTTATTAAATAAATAAATCCTCTATTTTTAGTGCTTCAACATACTCAACAGTGTTGCACTGATGTTTTTTTTATTAGCCTCTAGATACGTAAATGTAAACATTTTGACAAAATCCCAGTTACTGTTAATGTTATTACATGGCTAGAACTTAGAAGTGTAAGGACTAAGGGTGACAATAAACCTACTAGTAAACTGGTACCTAGCAAATAATTTGAACAACATAGTCATAGAATCTATACTGTGGCGGAATCAAGGGGGGGGGGGAATCGGCCATGGCCCTCCCCTTCTCCTTTTTGTTTGCTTGTCAAGGAATATTTTGGGTAGATCTAGACTAGATCTAAACAGACACTTGAAAAAGCTAAGGATAATTTTTTCCACTTTTTTCGCTGGTCAGCGAATTTTTCTGGTGCCTGATGAGGCCCTGAGGCTGAGCAGACTTCGGCCTAGACAGGAATAACCATCTTTCTGGGGGCATTCTTTTGACAAAATGACAGAGCTCAGAGGCATTTAGAGAAGCCAGATATGCAATCTCAGCGGATCCAACCGTCAACGCCAAATAGAGGCTGATATTTCGGTCCAACTTCGGCCCTCCCTTTTAAAAAAATCCTGGATCCGCCGCGCGGCTGAAATAGATCGAGATCTATACTAAGACTAAGTTGCGGTGTATTGCATATTGCATAGTTGAATCTAGATCTAGACTCTACACACTAGACATCAATAGCCGTGGAATATGAGGTTTTTTTTTTTTTACAATTCTGACATTTGCTTGCTTTTTCCTCGTATATCTAGACTAGACCTAGAGTCTAGTCTAGATCTATACATACGAAAATTCCACACTTCTACTGCAATGCGAGCACGTAAAAAAGTAACGTCTAGATCTAGTTTACTTTGTCTCTAGCTTGCAAAATGACCACAGCCTTCCCAGCAGGCCAAGCCCAAGGCCAGGGTCCCAGACCCAGACCGCGGAGAGCCTGAAGCGTCGGGCCCCAGAACAGGGCGCTTCCGATGGGGACTGCAGTCTGCTAATTGAGCAGTCTTAAAATTAACGTTACACAGATCTAGAACTGATCGCGAAAAAGAGCAAATCTGTTAAATTAGCTGTTTGTTCACTTTTACATTGAATGACCCGGCCATAAATAAGTAAAAAAAGTGAACTAACCTTCAATCCTCGCGATTGCAACCGGCAACTTCTGGTTGAATTCAGTCGATCTACCGTAGACGTAACTTAATAGTAGTACATACGTACAAGGCCTGGCATGGCATGGCCGCCTGGCTATATACGCTATTACTGCATTAAGCAGCGAGCGCGCGCAGTCTAGTCTAGCCTCGCGGGTATTATGTTGTTAACCCGTGGACTACTGAATTCTCTCACTCCCATAGGCTTAATACAGGGACCACCCGGTTCCAGTATGCAATGGACTTATACGAGATACTATCTCATTAAAACGAGATAACTATCTCATTAAAACGAGATACTATGTCGTTTTAACGAGATACTATCTCATTAAAACGAGATACTATGTCGTTTTAACGAGATACTATCTCATTAAAACGAGATAACTATCTCGTTTTAACGAGATACTATGTCGTTTTAACGAGATACTATCTCATTAAAACGAGATACTATGTCGTTTTAACGAGATACTATCTCATTAAAACGAGATAACTATCTCGTTTTAACGAGATAAAAATATTTTTACCATGTCCCTTCCCGGGCTCCGTACTTTAGAGAGGCTTCAAATGAAACATGTAATTAAGTACTTTGGCTTGTGTAATGGCCATCGAAGAGAAATAAATAAATTGATTGTCAACCCCAAAATTGCTAAAAAAAATTATAGGTCTAACTGTTAGATCTAGTCTATTATATAGTCTATATTTGTTTTTGTTTTTTGGGGGGAATCTGAATAAGGAAATACCACATGTCTATTACTTGTATGCCTAATTAAGATTATGAATTCACTATGAATGAAGGGATTTAAAAAGGGTCCTGGGTACATCTATGACTGTGTGTCAAAAAACCCTACTCACTTAATAATAATATGTCCCTACCGGTATTCATTTAGATCTATGTTAGATCAAGGCCTACTAGGTCTATAGTCAGTAGGGGCGCTGGTCCGAGAATAAGGATCGTCTTCATAAACAAGGATCGTCTTCTTTAACACTGACCGATGCGTCCTCAAAAATAAGGACCGTCTGCATTTTTGCAGACGTTTCATATTTTTGATCGGCGCATTGGCAATGCAAAAAACGGATTCTGCAATGATTTTCTTGATGCAATTTACATTGACTTTGTACAGAGACCTTCACATTATGAGCAATAAATCCTTGGGAAGACGGACAACCCATAAAAGTAGACGACAACTAGAGTTATTTTCCCCTGGGGAATCCATTTTTGGCATCGCCAGCGGGCCGTTCTGTAACATGAAACCCCCAGAGCGCCGATGAAAAAAAACGTTCTCGAAAATGCAGACAGCCCTTATTTTTGAGGACACATTTTGTCTTCATTTATGAGGATATCCTTGTTTATGGGGACGATCCTCATTCTCGGACCAGCGCCCCTACTGATAGTAGACCTATACCTTAGTTCAATCCTGCTTTAATCTGATCATACTAGACTAGGCTATACAGGAGCTAAGTAATAAAACTACCGTAATTGTTCAATGTTATTTTGTAGTGATGGCCAAAACAAGTTTTGACAAGGTCAGCAGGGCCAGGGCCAGGGCCTTTTCATCTAATTTTCTAAGGACTTTATTTGCATAAGAATACATGTAGCAGAAACTAGCGGAACCTTCAAAGTCAAGTGCCCAGGAGTTTCGGCTCATAATGATCGCGAGTATCCGATGGATTACGGACAAACAGCAAAATCAGGACATTGTAAATGATTACTGTCGTCGAGCTCTTACCGTAATGAGGACCACATTTTTGCAGCCAGTTTGATGTTGCTTTACAAAACTTTCAACTTGTCTGGTTGTATGTTCAAAATTGTTGGGAGGTGGGAAATCCTCAAAGAAAATACCAAAGAAATGCCTCGATGTTTGCGACATCATCTCACTCTCAGCTCCCCAGCTCAGCTCGATGAGATGTGATGCGTAGTATAAATTAAGGCTCTTGTATATTTAAAAATGTATATTTACAAAATCATTCATTTTGACCCGTTAATAACAGATTGAATCGAAGATCTTACGTGTGATTCGTCATCTTTTACAGGGTGCAGTCTACTAGAACTTTGAATATTTACATATTACCAACCTCATAGGAAGTAAAAAAAAAAAAGACCCAAGTTGGGCCTAATTACGCATGTTGTATTCACTGATGATAAACAAGTTATAGGCCTAGTAGATCTAGAGTCTACATCAATTATCTTACACCATTAGATGATATTTGTAAAAAATAAGAAGTTTAGAATATACAAGTTACTTTTATCATACTGCTAAATGGTTACCGATCAACAAGGATACATTTACATGTAGAGTCTATTTAAATAAAAATGATATTATATTATTTCTCCCCCCCCCCCAAAAAAAACCTTTGGCATGAATCAAGACTAACTACATTCACGCGTCCAGTTCGTGAAACTCGATTTGTCTCTAAAACATTTTGTTTGGCAGTAACATTTCTTCAGCAGTCAATGCGTTATAGGCCTAGCGCATGATCTGAGCACATGCAGACAAACGGAGCAATACATTCTGCTGGCCGAAATCATATTTTGACGATATTACATTACAAAAAACACCTCTCGTGTGATCTTGATTGACCTGGGGACGGCCAGATTCATTTCAGAGGCCCGTGATCGGACGTGTGTGTGATCTTCACCAGATAGCGACTGAGCTGTTCTGGCTTCTGCAAGGGCAAGGTTCGGCTTGCAAAGACTTAATTGAATCGGCTGAACAGACATCAATTCATTGAAGTTCAGGGAAAATGTTGGTATCAAGAAGTCTGAGAAGGTATTTATTGTCAATTTTGTGTGTTGTGAGCATTATTTTTATTGGTCAATGGTGCAATATGTCAACATGGTCAACAAAAAATAGATAGCGAAAGGGTAAAGTTAGATCTAGACCTAGATTCAAGTTCAAGTTCAAGTTCAGTTCAAGTTCAAGTTCATCTAGGCCTATCCCTAGATTCTAGGCCTAGAACTATTTCATTATGATTAAAAATAAAAGACATTAATTTAAGCCCAACTAAGGTGAAACTGACTGACAGTTAAAATAACAAGTTTCCTTGACCTTTTGAGCTTTGTTTGGGTGAAATTGTGACTGTGAGTGTGCCTTTAATTATTATGATTAAACATAGATCTAGTCAATAGATTTTCACCCAGGGGGGGGGGGGGGTAACTACTCAGATTTAGTTTGGACGGGTGTATGCCGCTCAAGCCTCAAAACCCCTATCCATCATTAGGCGATATTTAGGGGCATTTTTCTTGGAAAAAAGACCCATTTTTCACAATTTTTCTGTCTCTTTCGTTCGTTAGCCTCTGATTTGGGTAAGGTCGGCTCCTTACCCAAATCAGAGGCTAACAAACTCTCTAGCAAACACCAGAAAGTTTCGGAAATTTTGAAAAAACAGACCAACTCTTAATAGTACTTTTTTTTAAGTGGGACCCTTGTTGAGGGATTTTTTGTGAAAAAGTGATCTGTTAGACTTAGAGCGGCACACCCTGTATGTCCTAGTATGTGAGTATCCCTCGTCACTCGGCCTATTAATATGATTGTAGGCCTAGGCTAGATCTGTTATTTCTTTGTCATTGTGTCACATCCAATTTGCTTCCTCAAAGTGGCACTATTTATTAGAATTCCTCACGTTTCCAAAGTTTACAACATATCAAGGTAGACTCGACGGGCAAGCTGAATTCAACGGGCATGATGGTAACCCTCTCGGTGTGGATGGCACACATATTATTATTCATAAATCATATTCATAATGGACCAGAGGTAGTGAGAAAAATTAATATTAAAATCTCAAAAATCAATATTTTATGAAAATTGCCAATTTTTTCAGGACAATAGTGTTTATAGTCCTCTGTATAATCAACTTAGATGTACTTAGGGACTTTAATGCTCCTATTTAGAAGCATTTTTCATTCATGGTCATCACAAAAATATACTGCAACAGAAATAGATTGCTTTCTGCACAAAAATTATCATTCATGTGTTTCAAGGTAAAACAATCCTGGATTAGAGGACATTTATGCAAGAAAATCAATAATCAGTGGTGCACAAGCCTATCAAACTTCTGTTCTAGGGGTTAACATTCTGAGTTTGTGAATTAAATAAATAAAAAAATAAAAAATCAGAAAAAGAAAATGCTGAATCAATCGCCTCATTGCACGAGCACCTTCCATTGACTGTGTCTGTTCAAGAAGACTCCTATTCATGAGTATCTGATTAAATCAAAGATCTGTTTGCATTTAAGTTTTATAACCTTTGAGCTAACAGGGGTGTACAGTAAGTCCTATACCTCAAGATAAAATTAAGTATACTGCTTGCTCAAATAATGTGCGGTGCCAACGTTTGGACATTTGTTCGTGCATAATTGCATATTGTCCATGCGTACCTGCATAATTCGTCCTTGTTTTCACGAAGTGACGGTAGTGAGGAAAATCGTAACGCAAAGTAAATGCAATTTTTGTTCACTACCGTCACTTCGTGAAAACAGCGACGAATTGTGTAATTGTGAACTGTCTGATGTTTGCATGTAGTGATATAATACCATTTGTCATAATGTACAACAGGGCTGCCAACCTTTGGAAAGAGTTTGGAGTGAGACATTGCGAGGGAGCGAAGCGACCAAGCCCGAGGGCGCGAAGCGCCCGAGGGGGGGGGGGGATGGTGTGGAAGGGGGGGGGGTGTCCCCCCTTCCACGGTAGGGAGCTTTTACAATTTTGCAATTGAAATGGTGCAATCTGGTGCATACTTTAACCCTGATTCCACAAATACATAATGCAGGATTCAAATAGGTTAATTGATTTCATGAAGTACACTGACCTTGAAAAAATACAAACTTCCACATTTGTAAGTGCATTATTCACAGACACAGTCACACTCTCAACACACTCTTTTTGGAAACAAATTAAATCAAAATTTCGTTCACAATAGAATATACAGAACATAGTTAATAAAACTGCCATATCGATTATAGACAAGCACCCTTCCAAAATCATTCTTACTCTCGTATAAACGATCGAAACCATGAATTTCAATATTTCAAGACAAGAGTTTAAACTCACCTGTACCGGCAGAAGCCTGAAGACTTTATCCGATCGCAAACACTGAGCCACCCGGGCCGGGCCGGGCTGGGGGCCGAGCGAGATGTACAGCGATGACAGGCCATGGCATCGACACTCGCTTGTCGTGTCGATGTCTCGCACAAAAACCCCGCTTCATAGTAAAGTGACGACGTCACTCACACACGCAGGATAAGCCAATCGCAATTCAC